TGGGCTTGGGTTCTGAGATTACATTTTGTTCCTTCTCATCATTTTGTGTAGCACTGTCTTCTGACCTTTGTTGTAGATCTTTGTTGCAGTTATAACCTTAGCATGTGCTGAAGTTCAGGTTCAGATCTACAAAGTTTGGATTTATCCAGCTGTGCCTGGCTTGGGTCTGGTCTGGCTACTGTGCTCAGCTCTTTCCTGTTGCTTCCCTTGTGGGTGAACCTGTTGTGCCCTTCTGGCAAGATGTTCTCCTCCTGGACTAGCTGGGTGGTTCTGTCCCCTACACTTTCTGCAGGGATTACAACTACAGTTTTTCACCCCAAGCCTGTATGCCAGGCCTAAGCTGATCCTGGTGGGGAAAAGGTGGAGTAGTGGGGGAGGAAGCTTTCCCAGAAACTCACCGGGCCTGGAGTAGGACTGGATCTGAGGGTTCCCCGAAAGGGTCAGAAATTCCTACTCTGTGGGTGGGGTGTGGGGGGGGTACTACGGAGTGATGAAGGGCATCCTAAGAGGGTGAAAGAGGGTGTCACTTACACTGCACCTGGGCTGGGACCAGTAGGTCACGCCAGCACAGGGTAGCCAGAAGTTCTTCCACACACTCAGCGGGCCTGGGCTAGGGCTGGATCTGGGAGTCCTGGAACATGGCAGAAATTCCTACTTAGTGGGCGGGGTGGGGGGTACTGCATATTGCAGGGTTGTCCCAAGGGGGTGGAAGAGGGTCTTACCCACGCTGGGCCTGGGCTGGGACAAGTAGGTCCCGCAGGTGCAGGGTAGCTAGAAGCTCTCCCACACACTCACTGGGCCTGGGGTAGGACACTGGATTCTTTTGTTTGCTTTCGCATGTCTTCTCCAACTTACCTCTGTGTTATTGTTATAATTTGCTACCTTCTTTACTCAGTGTCCTCTTTTTTGTTGTTGTACAATAAATTTGCAATGTAAAATGTCATGCATTAAAGAACTGCAGACATTTTTATTTGTGTTTACTGTGGAAACTAGTCAAACAAGGAAATATGTAAGTGCTTTCTGTCATTCTTTGATCTTTATATTATAGACAACTTTGTTTTATTCATATTTGAACAGCTTTGTGAATATATCATGCTGTTTCAAAGGAAATACATTATGATTTTAATTTTCAAGTGCCCTTTTTTGTAATGAATAAATTGGTACAGACCATTTATCTGCTATACTCAGGGTTTCGGAATACAATTTATTTGTCTCCTAGTTATTCATGGGAGAGACTTCAGGCATTCAATCACTGTGGGAAACGGGCATAGTTTGAACTCCAAAGGGAAAGGGGCAGGAAATGAGACTAACTGAGCATGAAGTAGCTGTTGCTTCTAAACAGGAAGCAATAAACTAGAAACTGATTCAGCAGCCTAATGGCCTAAGGCCAGAAAAAGAGTTACATCTATAGATGGACAGTAACTCTGGGTCAAATGGCTGTTTAGGAAACTAAGAGAATGGAGATGGACTAAGGAAGAGAAGTAAAGAAAGGAAAAGAACGAAACAACAGACAGAAGTAGAAGGCACAGCCAGAGAAAGCCAGATGGTACATTGAAGACTGGTGTCAGCCAAATCAGGGAATAGCACTGGAGATAACACCAGGGTCTGTGAGCGAAGCAGCAAGCAACAGTAATGCAGAGGAGGAGATGGCCCACTTCTGTACATAAGAGGAAGTCTGGAGCCATTCGGACTCCAGATGCTTCAGATTACTAAGGTATGATGCTAGAAGGTTCTTCAGAGTGACAGGTGGCATTTAGTGAACAAGGAAGACTACCATTTTAATAGCAGCTCAAGGCCCTCTGATGTTAAAAGGGTACGTCTTAAAGTCAAGACGGTTGGGTGCATTGGTATGAAGTACAAGCTGGACTTGTCCCGCTAGGGATTTCCAGAAAGTTGAACAGAACTAGCTGAATAGATCCAGTACATGCCATGAATTGTGAATTCTCCGTTAGTAGGTGATTAGACTCTTAAGTATATTTTTAAGAGTAAGATCAGTGTTTCAAATTAAGGAACAGATTTGCAAGGATTTATGACTTACAGAGAAGAGCATCAAACCATCAACTCTGCAAGAATGTTTTATGTTTTTAAAGTGAGATCATTCTGACCTGAACAGTTTTAAAATAATGATAAAACTGGCATGCTTGAGGACAGACTTGCTGCAGCCCATGAGGACATGCCAGGCTCCAAATTTTAACTATAAATGTAGTGCATCTCCTCCAGTGAACTATAGCTAAGCATGGGTTTGGATGATTTAAATCTTTTATTTTCCCAGAAATCACAAAATTTAATTATGTATTTCCTTAAGTGATCTGTAGACAAAAGTATTTTCCCCCGCAGGAAAATTTCCTTTATTTTTTCTATTGAAAATCAAATATTTTATAGCTATAATCAATAGATTTGAATGCTAGTCAGTTCAGAAACTCATCCTACATCAAAAGATCAAAGAGAATAATTCATATTTTTAAATTGATGTGATCTTATTGTGTCAACCTAAGAACTGGTACGTTACTCAGTTTCAAGTACTTTGAGAAAAAGTAATATGAAAGTCTTAGTTAAGACTTTGAGCTAGTGCCAGAGGGCAAAAGAACCTTCTATACATGATAGAGTCTTCTGAGTAAGGTCTCTGTGCAGTGAACTTTATGGGCAACTTCACCTTCCTGAAGCAGCACAGCCAAGCTTCAGTTGTATACATCATGAAAATGGATTACTCTGTGTGTTCAATTAGCCGCCTCACTCTTAGTCAAATAGATGAAAAAGTATTAGAGTTGGATGAATTATTAATCCTTGTGTTTTTATTATATATCTAATATGATTGAGCTTGTGATACTGCAATGATGTACAGTGTTTTGACTGACATCACTTAATGAATGGAACTATCTCGAACATTTATGAAGGATTTTGAAAGCCTGTAAGGGATGATGGCTGTAACCTTTCATAAGATCGTTAAAATAAATCTAGTTAAGAATTACTCTAAAACATAAGATACAGACATAGTTATCTATTTTATTTTCATTTTATTAATACATGTTTGCATGAAGTAGACATTCATCTTGAGTGTAGGTGCATATATATAGCACAGCTTGTTTCTTTTTTTAACCTGCTTCTACTTCCCACCCTTTTTCCTCTGTCTAAATCCCCTTTATCCATTTTCATTCTTCTTGTTACTGTTCTTAGCTCATGTTTATTTTTTTGAATTTATGTATTTGGTGCAGGGTGTCACTACATAGCTCAGACTTGTAGCGATCCTCCATCTCAGCCTCTGCAGCACTGGATTTTACAGAGTACACCAACATGCCCCATTTCCAAGTCTTAAGTATTTTTATTTACCTTTTCACAAAATGGCCCATGTACTTTCGCCAGGCATTTAGTGCATGCCTGTAATCCCAGCAAACTAGGAGACCGAGACAAGCAGAATCAAAAGTTTCCACCCAACCTGGGCAACTTAGCAAGATCCTGCGTCAAAATAAAAAAGAGGCTGGGGATGTAGCTCAGTGTGAAAACCTTCAGGTCAATCCCCAGTACCACTAACAAAAGAAAATTCCACATAATCTTGTAAAAAACTTAAAAGTCATTTCTGCACTTAGATAAACATCTTTGAATATGAGACTACAAAGTATGATGAGTTTTCCTGTCACTTGTAAACTAGATTAGAAGTCAATACCAAAAGTTCAAGAAATGATGTGGAGATACTATCATATAGTCAGGATAACTTCATTTGACGTGGAGTCACAGGGCCTGGTCCTAAGTGCCACCCTGTACAGTGTGATCCTGAGCAAGTCTGCTGGCTTCTGGATAGCAGAAGCTCGGCCGCAGCATGCAAAGGATTCAGTCAGGCTCCTGCTTGTCTAACACTGCATCACTCTTCCGGAGTTCTAAGACTTTGGAAAGATACCAACAGAGCTCAGCATTGGCCTTGCTCTCAGATGGAGGGGCTGCAATTGCTACATTTATAGCTTCTGTGGTCACATCTGTCACAGAGCTTCGTTTGGAGCCGGGCTTGGCGTGATGGCTATGGTGACACAAGCTTTAGCATCAACTGTCACAGGACCTAATGGAGGGGGTGGCCTCTCTGGTTCCTTGCTCTTGTTTTTACTCTTCTGGGCACCACAGCATTCGCCCCTGGCCTTGCTTGCCACACCAGCTTTCTTAGGAATCTGGGCCAGAAGGGAGGTGCACCAAGCCCCAGCCACCTGGTCTAGCTGTGAGATGCCTCAGCCACTCTTGAGACTCCATTAGTTTGTGTTTATAACATGTAATGTTTACACTTATTGTGGGTGTTTGGTACATGTACATTGCATGTAATAAATATAAGTTCTCTTTCTTCATCCCCTCTCCTATCAGATACAGAAATTCAGGAAGGTTAAACACCCCACCCAAGATTCCACGGGTAGTAAGAACAGTGAGTTGAGACCCCGGCAAAGATTAGGTCTGACTCCAAAGCTGATTTTACCTCTGAGATACTTCTGTATTGCATAGGACAATGACTAGATTACAGTATCTTCTTTGAGACACAAAGCAAAAACTTGATTATGTCAAATAGGGTGTGTTTAAGATGGTGCAAAAGATTTTAGTATACTTCTCATTGTTTACACATTTAAATTCTGTCTTTATTTTAAAATTGAAGATTGAACCTCACTTGGTGAAAATATGTTCCATCGTAAGTTGTATGAATAACTAAAGCAAAAATACAATTTTATAAAATATTTTCAAGGTTTGATTTTAGATCTAGGGTTTCAAGTCAACTTCATTGGATATCTTTTGCATCATTTTAATTTGAAATTATCCTCTTTCAAAATCTTATAGATCACCAGCTTTTGGTTTTAATTTAGAGATTTGTGTTTACTGTTTAACATAAAGTTTTTACTTTAATTATTATAATATATTTCTAGAAATATACTGATGGCATTTGGGTTCAATGTAAATTATAGAATTTGATGGTAGACATATATTTTATATTGCAATAATTTTTTTTCTTTTTGTGTCAATTTATTGAAATTCAGATCCCAAGTCCTTTGCAAAGGCATTTTCCAGCGGCTATCTAGTTGGGGAGATTCTGCACAAATTTGAACTTCAGGATGACTTTTCAGAATTTTCAGACAGCAGGTTAGTGAGAGTATTGTTTAAATATTTAAGCATCGATTGGGGCATTCAAAGCTAATAAAATCGTCATGCACACACCATTGCATTTCCGTTGTATTTAGAGTATCTCCAAACGTATGGAAATTGTGGCTTCCTCACGTATGTGTTCTTTATTGCCTCAGGCATACAAAGGAGAGAAAATGGTATGGTTTCAGCAAGACCCCCGCTGCACTTGGGGCTCACTTAGTGTCTTTCATATTCCTGCGCTCTTATCAGGTTACTTTTTCTCTAAATGATTATTCTTTTTATTAACAGAGACTATTTATGCATAATTGTAATGACCTGAGTGACAAATTCATATTAGTCCTTCTGTTTCAAAAATAAATACAATTTAAGTGCTAGCTCAAAATTCCATATTTTTCTTTTGCGAATTTATATTGTGATAAAATTTTTATACTGCAATTTATGTTAAAGAACACAGTTCAGTGATTTTTGGTAAATATTCCTGTGAGTAAATACTTTTCTCATATCAATATTTCTAAAGTCATTGAAACTTTTCTATTTTCTAACATGTACCCCCTCACTGAAAATGTTTCATGTATTCAAGGAAAAAATGGTTTATGTTTTTTGTTGATATTCTATAGATGTCAATAAGGTTTACTTGGCTTAAATCTTATAATTTGTTTCTGATCTTTTCTGCCTTGTTTCTATACCCATTATTGAGAGAATGGTATCAGAAGTCTGTAGTTATTAGTGTAGATCTAGCTGTTTCTCTTTCTAAATCACTCAGCTTTTGTTCCATGTATTTTCTGGTGGTCTTGCTAGATGTACCTAGGTTTGTAGCTTTTAAATCTGCTTAAAGAATTTTCTCTTTTATTAATAT